ACAAGTTGACAAATTGCTTTGTAAACCACTAAAAGAGCTGCAAGCATCACCACTCCCAAATCATCCAAGCCTGCAAGACAGGACTATTCCAATTGCCTCTCTTGTTGCAAAATATTTTCTATCTACCACAGAGACTACTGATAACTTTAATGCAGTTTAGTAAAATTCCTATTAAAGTAAAAATTAGTTAAATGGCATGTTTAAATTAGAAACCTAGGTTTTTGCATCATCTGAGCTTTCAAAGAGGGATTCTTGAGTATTATTAACATTATATTAACTCCACTAAGTTAATTTTGCCTTTCACTTGAACAGACAAACTAAACATCGTCAGTGTACTTGTTTGAGTAGAAGGAAGAAGATAAACTTTTATGAATCATTCCTTTCAAGAAAAGATTGATTTATATTTAAGCTACTGTGTCCTCTCAGCAGTAAAGAAGAGATTACATTACATGTTCATTTTATCACACATTTGTAAAGCTTATCACACAGTAATAACTCTGTGTATCCTGCAACTGCAATAATATTTGGTTGCAGAAAATTCTTCAGTTTAGAGCCAGCATAAATATTCAAGCTTTACAGTTTTCCTCCATAAAATGGATAGGCTATCACATGCACTGCAGCTATACTGGTTCTGCTGCACAATGCAATTTCTTGTCCTTCGAAACTACCCCAAATCTGTTCTATTAAATTTGCTAAGGGTAGGCACTTCCAGAAGTGCAGATACAACTATTACTAGACAGTAGGCTTTTGGGTGGATGTTTCATTGCTACTAAGACGTCACAAAGCCAACAGTGCTTTTAGGCAGCCAGCTTCTTGTTTCATTTCATCCAAACAGAAACTCAGAAACACTACTAAAACTTTTGCCAGAAAAAAAAAAGACTCCAACTAACAACAAACAGACATTGCTATTTGGCTTACCCACATTAAAATTTTAATCATACTATCAAACAGAAAACTACTGAAAATACTTGTCCAGCATAGCTGTTTAGAGCACAATACTTCCAGCAATTTCAGGACACCTAAACCTACTCCTGATGCTATGGTACTTTGAAGCATGCTATTAAATATTCCACCACTTTCATCTCAACTACCATAATGAATTGCGTAGCTGGTTAGCTGAGAATTCTATAGTCTTGTGTTTGGACAGAAATCATCTTGCCACAGCAGTTGTTTGGAACTGATCAAACTTTAAACTAGATTTCCCAGATGAGATCTGCTTTCTCAAGAATGTTTTGTACTAAAGCTAGTTTATCCATAAAGTGTTTCAAGTATTCAGATCCAGTCAGGTATAAATTTAGTTCAGACTGCACTACTCTGCAGGAGTCACAGACTAGGTGCTGGAATGGTTGTACAAACACTTACAGGACTATTTCTGTTCTTGTTCACAACATTAGCATGCAGAAGACAATTTAGGCAGCATCAAGTGAGATCACTTTGCAGTGGTTAAGGTTATTCAAGCCACAGAGCACCCAACCTTTTACACCCAGCAATTACCAATCCACCTTACACACATGCAAGTAAGTGTGTATGTGCAGTTCCATAGTATTTCATCCCATTGCCAGTCCGGTTCTGCATTTATTATGTATGGATCTGCCCAGGTAGGCTACCTTTTCTGCCATATTTGGATTCTGTAGTTTCATTGTTCTCCCAGCACTGGCCTGCACTGAGATTATATCAGAGAACCAGCAGATACAAGCTTAGGGAGATCATACTGGAGGGCAGAAAAACTTCCAGTTAACTCCTGGAAGTTTGCAAACCTACTCTTTGCTGATTTACTAATTCGAGATCTTATTAAATATCACTGCTTGGAGACTGCCCAAGGATAGCAATGACTCAAAGTACTCCCTGTCTTAAAAGTTCTGGTGCTTGACCCACTTCTTACAAAGAAATAGGACATCAATTGAATTTCTAACCTTACATTTCAGCGCACTGGTGACAGGAGTCTCGTGGCTCTCAAAAAGCTTTGGATCTATAAACATAATAATCCAGCTTGTCAGCTAAGTAACTGGTACTTCCAACAGCCCTGTTGGTAAGGTAACCAGGCCTCTCATGCACGTAGTTTCCATGATAGCAGCAGGATCCTCATGTGCTGAAGTGTCATGTCCTCAGCAGCAGCATGGCAGCAGTTCCCTTCTCTCTAGACAGCTTGTTTTTTTTTCAGAGACACTCCCAAGTAGTTCTTTCAGTTGCCGCAAACTTGTCACCTTTTTAAAGCAGGTGAATCAACAAATCAGGTGGACTGGCTGCTACCTAACTCACTTCTGCTTAGTGCTGAAGGGAATACCCCACCAAAAACTCTGTTCAGATGCAATTTAGGTATTTTAGAATGCAATTTTAGTTTTTTTGCTGGTTTATTCAGTAGAAATCAGTGACGTATTTCCTTTAACTCATTCAAGAACAATTCACCAACATCTGAAAAGACTGCCCTTTGTATTTTATGAATGACAAGTTATGGATGTCTCCCATACAGAAGTTACTATGAAGGCTACTCAGTGCTTATTGATGCTGTAATTTTAAGAAATTGCTATTTCCTTCCACATTTTTCTGTAAGGGTACAATTTTAGCAAAGTATAACAGCTACAGAGAGCTGATGGTATGACTTTGCTGCTGCCTGAAAACAGGCCTATCAGAAACTTGATTGTAGATGAATGTTTTTCAGATTAGTTTTCACACGGCTCCCAAATGGTACATTTACCTAATCCCTCTTTCAAATCATACTGGCTTGCCCCTCCGCTGTCTAATGACAGCCAGAATAAAACCACTTTGAAGACCTCAGCCTCTACAGTAATATACTTGAAATACTAGGACTTTCATCCTTTGCCTGATAAGAAATTTTGGATCCATGTTAAATTTTCTTAAGCCTGGAGATACAAGGAGAGATATATATTGCTGCGTCTCCATTGTTTTTTCTTTCTTGCATTACAAAAAACAAAAATTGGTCTGCTGCTTACATTTACCTCCAAAAAGTTTGTTTAGCAGAATCACAGAATCACAGAATAGCTAGGGTCAGAAGGGATTTCTGGAGACCATCTAGTCCAACCTCTCTGCCAAGGCAGGGTCACCTAAAGCAGGTTACTTGGGAAGGTATCCAGGTGCGGTTTGAATGTCTCCAGAGCGGGAGACTCCACGACCTCCCTGAATACCTAGAAGAAAGATACTATATTTCCTCCACCGATGTATTCTTCACATGCTTGCTTGGCCACTCCTACATGTGGTATAATCAAGACATTTTCACAACATTTCACAGGTGCTTTGATCTGATGACAACATTTACAGTAATAGGAAAGAATGCTGCACTCCAAGATGTATAGTATGTATCACCTTTAAGAACAGAGATATGGTCTGTCTTCTGGATGCTGAGTCATAATTTCCTCCTTTTTTCTAACAGCTATGACTTTGGGTATATTCTCCTGTACATGTGATACTGCTTTGTTAATGTCCAGAGAATGCTGGAACTGCCAGAGGCCCTTCCCAGACACTTCATCCTTGAAGGATGGTATGCTTTAGAAGAAGGCTGTGACTCACTCTTGCTTTTCTGGCAAATGCAAATGAAAATTTTTTATTTCCCCAGTGCTTCCTCTGATTTAGAGCAGAACAACAATATCACTGATGGGCTGTATTGGGTCTGGCTGAGATGAAGTTCATTTCCTCATAGCATCCCTCACAGTGCTGTGCTATGCACTGGTGGCTAGAAAGGTGTTGATAATACAGTAGTGTTTCGGTTACTGCTGGGCAGTGCTGGCACAGCATCAGTGCTGTCTCCCCAATATTCTGCCCCCGCCCCAACAGGCTAGGAATGGGCAAGGTTCTGGGAAGGGACACAACTAAGGCAGCTAACCCAAACTGATGAAAGGAGTATTCCATATCATATGACATCAGCTCAGATATAAAAGCTAAGGAAAGGAGGAGGAGGGGGGGGCATTTGTTATTTACAATATTTACCTTACAGTGCAACTGGTATGTGTGCTGAAGCCCTGCTTCCCAGGAAGTGTCCAGATATCACTTGCTGATGTGAAGTAGAGAATAAAATCTTTGTTTTCTGAGAATGCAAACTTTTGCTTTTCCTTTAGTAGACAGCCTTATCACAGCCTATGACTTGTCTTCCATCTGATTTTCTCTCCCCTGTCCAGCTGAAAAGGGGGAGTGATAAAGTGGCCTGGTAGGCACCTGGCATCCAGCCAAGGTCAACCCACCCCACGGGCCAATGCATATTGTCGACTGGTCTTATTTTCGATGCAAGTACTTTGGGACTGTTCTAGTAAGAAGTACTTTCTTCATTTGTACATGGGAAGAAATGGGATACCCCAAAGGGCACCAGGAAACAGGCCCTTAAACTCAGAATTACTGGTGACTGATCATTCCTTTGAGACAAGCTTATGAGAGTTGCCTGTCCTGCCACACTGAAACCTGTGTGCTTTGTAATAAACTTGGAAACTTCGGAATGCACGGCAGTCCAAAGAAGGACTGGCCAACGTGAGCAGAAAAGGCCACGTCTCAGTGCAGTTTACTTCAGCTATGAAGTACGCAATTGCCCAAGACTGCTGGGAGCTTGCCCTTGTCGCCAGGTCTCGTAACAGAAGCTGCGCACTTTCGCAGGCTAACCAGAACTGCAAACTCCTGCTGCACGAAGTTCGCCGTCCGGCGCTCCTGATAACAAGTCTTTTAAGTATTCTCCTTAAATTTCTAGTCAGAATTAAGCCATACAACAACAACCAAAACCACGCTCGCCCCTCCGGCCCCTCCCGGCGCGCGTCGCCCGACGCCCGCACGCTTGCGCTGGCGTCCTCAGAGAAGGGGCGGGGCGTCCTCCTGCTCCGCCCACCGCGGGAGCGCGAGCGTGGCGGTTCCGCTGAGGAGGGGCGGGGCCGCGGCGCGAGGCTCCGCCCATCTAGCTCCGCCAATGGGGAAAGGCGGTGGCGGGGGTGGGGCCGGCGCGGGTCGCGCGGGGGGCGGGGCCGGCGCGGAGTTGCCGCAGCGCCGCCGCCGCTTGTAAACAGATCCAGCCCCACGTGACGCGCGCCCGGTACCTGCGCGGGGGCGTCGGGCATTGTCCGCGCTGGTACCGGCGGGACCGCGCGGGCAGCGGCAGGAGGCGAGTCCGCTCCGCCCTTCCTCCCCCGCCGCTCCGGTGGGGAACCAGCGCACCCCCCCACTCCGGCCGCTAAGATGGCTGGTAGTGGGCGGTGAGGCGGCGCGGGGCTGCGGGGCGGCTGACGGGACGGTAGCGCGGAGGGCGGGAGGCGTGTTCCCGTGTGCGGAGCCGCGCGGCGCCATGTCCGCCTTCGCCTTGGAGGAGACGCTGGAGGCCGACTGGGTGGCCGTCAGGCCGCACGCCTTCCAGGAGCGGGAGAAGCACAAGTTCGCCTTCATCGTGGCCTGGAACGAGATCGAGGGCAAGTTCGCCATCACCTGCCACAACCGCACGGCGCAGCGCCAGCGCAGCGGTTCCCGCGAGCTGCGCCGCGGCGGCCCCGAGACCGCGGCCTCTCCCAAGGCCGGCGGCCCCGCGGCGCGCAGGGACGCGGGGCCGCCCCGGGGCTGCGCCCACGCCCGGGCCGAGGCGCTGCCCCAGAGTCCGCTACGCGCCAAGTGCAGCCCGGCGCGGAGGCCGCAGCGCGGCCCAGAGGCGGCAGGTGCCCCCGAGGAGATCGAGGTGCTGGAGCTGGGGAAGGAGGACGCGGCCGCCGCGCTGTCGCTGCCACCCTCGCCCCCGCGGGCGGGCGAGCCGGGCGCTCCCGACGCCGAGCCCGTGGGGGAGGAGTGCAGCTGGGCCGGCCTCTTCTCCTTCCAGGACTTGCGGGCCGTGCACCAGCAGCTGTGCTCGGTGAACTCGGAGCTGGAGCCCTACCTGCCTGCCTTCCCCGAAGAGCCCTCGGGCATGTGGACGGTGCTGTTCGGAGCCCCGGAACTATCTGAGCAGGAGATGGACGCTCTCTGTTACAAGCTGCAAGTTTACTTGGTCCACAGCCTGGATACCTGTGGCTGGAAGATCCTTTCGCAGGTGCTCTTCACCGAGACCGATGACCCCGAAGAGTATTACGAGAGCCTGAGTGAGCTGCGACAGAAGGGGTACGAGGAGGTGCTGCAGCGGGCCCGCAGGCGAATCCAAGAGGTGAGACTGGTCCAAATGTCTCCACTTTGGTGTCACCTTTAGTTTAATCTGTGACATCTTTTTTTCAGTCGTTGTCTTCCTTGTTCGTGTTGTCCCGTTCCTTAGTGAGAAAATGGGGCTTAACCTTTTCCAAGGTCTCTGGGGCCAGGATTTAAAAAGGTGCAGATTTCCTTACTCATCTGAGTGTGGCTCAGTACTTTATTCTGTGCAATTGTAGATGTTTTTGAACAAGTATACGATGGATTTGGCAAGATCCCATATTTTTGTTCTTGTATTGCCTTGGACGACGATGTGTTGGGGTCTGAATTTTTCTGTTAAATAGAAGCAGCAACATGTGGTGGTTGTTTTAGCAGTGCAATTTAGACACTTGAGGCCAAGAAATTCTAGGTTCCTGTAAGCTCTGGGTGTTGAATCTGGTATTTATATAGTGAGATGACGTTTTCCAGTGAAATTGGAGTAAGTACAACTTTTGTTCAGCAGATAAGTTCCTAGAGTGAGGATTTTAAAAAAACAAGCTGTCTGACCCTAGCGGTTATTTACTGTGTTGCTGTTGGTAGTGTCTGTCAAGACTTGGATATTTCAGGACACGCCATGTCTTTCCCATACCCTGTATTGTTTAGGCAAAGTAGTTGAGGATTTCCTGCTAACTTACTTGTAACATAAGCGTGTGGGGATTTTTCCACTTTCTCAGTCTTCGTGGACTGAGGTATATGAGGACCCAGATTTCCACATTATAAAAGGAGAATGTTACGCTTGTTCTTTTGTTTCAGTGGCCTTGGTCCAGAATGTAACAGGATCTATCTAGATGTGACTGTGAGTATGGATCACGTTAGGCAATTCTTTATTTTTGCAAACAGCACATTAATTCTATTGTATGGATATAAGTCAAGTTTGGCTGCTTCAGCTACCTGCATGTATCCTACCAACATTGTGTTCAAAAATGTGTAGGGGCGATTGCTTTTTCCGCGATGCAGTGCAAGCATATCTCCTTGCTATCTGTTTTCGTGGCATAGTTTTTTGTCTTTGTAGAATTCAGGCTGAGTTTTTCTTTGGTGACTGGAGTTATAGTATGAGAAAATTGTCATGGTAAGAACATCCAACTTACAGCATTGTTAGGTAAAAGTTTATTTTTAAACTGTTGCGTTAGGGTATGTAATTCTGATTTTTCTTTTTCTTTTCATGTCTATTTAAAGGGCTGAATTAATTCTTGATATTGGGTATACAACTGGTTATTAGTCTGGGAATTTTCAGCAGTAGTTTTAGTCCACAGAATATGGAAGCATAATGTCGTCCACTGTTTTTTTTGACTCCATGAATACTTGGGACTGTACGCTTAGATTAGACTTAGCCTTTAGCTCAGCAGTTCTTAAAAGAAGCTGTGCAGGACAAGGGAAATTCCTGTTAAACATTTGAAATTTGGGAACTGGGTACCTAACTTGAGACATGTGGTGTTTTTGAGGAAATGCTGATTAGGAATTACTGAGCAAGAACCACTTGTTTCTTGGAGAATCTTAATTTCTGTTTTCTTAGCAGCAGTACTATTGGCAAAAAATAAGTTGGTTATCGATATACAGTGCAAGCTTTATCCATCAAGATCTATAAACTGCAACATCTTATTCTCTGTTAGTGTTCTGAACTTGGTGCAGACAAAATGGCAGAGCCTATGTATGCATTTGACTACAATCCTTTCCCATGGTAACCAGTCCAGTGGTGTACCTAAAGGTAATACAGGTGCACTTCTGTCACTGTCAGTTGTGTAAGTTGATCTTTCTTTAATTAAAGGTAGTTCATGTTGAAGAAAAGAAACCAATGGAACGACCCACTCTTTCCCTTTTGGCTCTCAGGTTTCTCTTTTCCTTACCTGTTGAGGGTTTGCTTGGTCTACAGTAAATGTCTTTCTTTTAAGCAAATACCGATACTCTTTGTCACTGCAATTCTAAACAAATGAAGCAGTGGATGATGGGTAGTGCTTGGTATTTCTGAAGTAAAGGGGTTTTTCTACTTTAAAGCAAACCTGCTGAATCCATGGTTTATCTCACTCTTTAATTTGCTTTTCTGTCTGTGCTTGAAATCTTCTGTTAGTTGATTGCAGGAATCTATGCAATTTTAAACAATTTTGTCTCTTATAGGAACTTAGGGGAAAAAAAGAAAGTGATTGAGCAGCATTGGTAACTGGGATGATATCTAGGAGCACAGGGAATGTGGAGGGTCTTCATTAATGTAAAATTGTGCAAAAGACAAGCTTTGAAATCCCAAGACCTTGACTTAGCATCTTAAAATATACCTCTGTGGTTTATAGTTATGTCATGTATGTCTTTTTTTTCTCAGGCCAAATTTTTCTAAGCAGAGGATTACTTGAGAAATTCTTGCAGTTTCTGTTGATTGTATTTTTTGGGGTAGGGAGGCAAAGTGAGCAACAAAGCCTCATGTTCCTTGTTTGAGTATCCCCTACTTAGCCATTTGTTACTTTTCGTAAGTTACACACAAGCCACTTTATTTTCACAGCGGATAATAATTGTTGCTCTTTGTAATAGTAAATTTGATCTTGGTCTGAATTTTAAACTTAATAAGCCCAAAGAATGTTGCGAGTAGAAACAGATCCAAGATGAGTAAGTAAAATAGTTGTAGAGGAACTGTGTGACCTGGAATTTATTTCTTCTCCCTCATTTGCATTTTTGAAATAGCACGTCTTCTATTTTTTTCAAATAAAACTATTAATTTTGGAATAGTTTAGGAATTTAATTTAATGTTAAAGTAAAAACCAGTTCATTAAGTTTATATCTGTCTTAAAAAAATTCCTCACGTGCTCAGCTAAAAAGATAAAAAGATGTTATTTCAATAGAGAGTATATCGCTGAATCCTTATTTGTGATTCCTGCTTCTTGGACAGTTTTTCCAAAATCTTAAACTTCGTGTCTAGAAGGCAGAAAACATTTGCCTCTGTACTCTTTCTCTCATCCGTTTCCTATGTTCCTCCTATATATAGAGGAGTTTTTCTAGACCATATGTACATGTTTATAAATTTCTGTGACTTTAGTAATACCAAAGATGATGGTGTATCTCCTTGTCCATGCTGCGTTCTCAAAAGGTTGAATGTAGTCATGATTTTTCTGAATAAAAAGTGGTGTTAGTATCAACTGTGATTGAGAGGGTTTGGTGGCTTAGTCATACTACAGACATACTTAATTGTGTGTTCTTGCATAGTGAGTTGAGGATTTGGGAAGCCTATCCGTATATTACATGTGTAATTCAGCATCTTTGAATTAATGGCACCTGGGAATGTTCCTGTTCCTTATAGCTCTTAATTGCCCTGACAGACTGAAATCTGATGGATGATACTCTACAGGATCTTGAGTGCCAGGTATAAAACTAGTCAGAGACTTGCTTTGGTTTTCTTTGTGCTTTATAAAATCTGTGAATTCCAGTGTCTGGAGGCAGACAAAGACCATTTTGTATCTCTGTTCTGTGTGTGTTCTTTTGAATTACTGTAATACAAAAGTTCAAAGTGCATGATTAAATTCTGAAGAAATTCTGAAAGCATCTTATCTTCTGTGATTGAACTAAGACTGCCCTGAGAGTGAGGACCTACTGCTATTTTTAGTCTCCATCTTCTGTGTAGTGTTATATTTACTAAGCCTGAGAATAGCCCTGAAAACTTTTGTCTTATGTTGGTTGGGTTAATTTTCTTTTGATTCAAAGAATCTGGAAGGCTAAGGAAAAATAAGTGTGGGTGGTTGGTTTGTTTTTTTTTTTTTACAGTAACAACTTATATGAGAAGAAAATGTAGGGTTTTTTTTTGATGGAAGGCTGTATGATCACTTTAATTTCTTTTTAAATCAGATACAAGGATTTTTTAAAATTACTTTTGCAGCATCAGTAGGCAAGCTTTTTCTTTTTGTTTTCAATGAATGAAATATGTTTGTCAAATCACAGAAAGTGGTAAGAAATTGGCTATGGAATTTCACATTTGTTACTTTCCAAAGTGTATTTCTTCAATATTGTCACGTATTTCTGTTTACATTAAAAAAAATAATATCCAATATTTCGTTGTACCTGTTATAATATTTTAGTGAAAAATAATATTCAGGATCATCTCTGACTAGAAGAATTTTACTTCATTGCTTTTGGTTATATGTATTCAGTTCTAAAATAAATGTATATATGGTAGATAGTGGGGCATTGTACTAAAAATGGAACTTTTCCCAAAGTAAGGTGCCTGATGGCTGTTCAGTGATCTACTGCTAGGCACAATGAACTTTAAAGAGAGCTTCAACATCAAATTCAAAAATAATTCAGAAGTAAATATAAAACATTACAAAAAAGTATTCAGTGTTCCAGTAGCACAGAAAAAATGTTAGCAGTAGTGTTTCCATTAAACCAATGTAGCATCTTTTTATGCAAGAAGCAAAGATAACTGAATATGGTATATGAACTGCAGTGCTAGATTTAGAAGATACATAAGGTGTCTCAGGGGAGAACAGAACACTGGTTTGGATTTCACTGTCGGAGCACAGGAGATTAAAATAAGATACACTGTGCATTTTTTTCCCTATTGACATGAGTGGAGCAGAGTTAAGACTAATGCTGAGCATTCAGGAAATTCAAGCTATTTTTGTTTGAATGCTTCTTTTTCCATACTCATTATTTGTCGTGTTAACTCTTGTTTCCAGTAAAACTGTTTTGCTTCTAAATCCTTTGTAATTAGGCTGTTTAACTGAACTAGTGCTGTACGTTAGTACTAACCAAAATAAAATATGTCAGTAGCTGTAGGGCATGCTCTGTAGAACAGGCAAGTAGCCTCCAAGCTCCTAGGAGACTCCTACATGATATTACTACTCTAACTAGTACTGAGCTAATACTAGAGCTAGCTGAAAATAACTACTGCAGCTGTCTCTGAAAACATCAGAATGCTTAAAATAATGTACGTTTCTTTAAAATGTAGACAAATTATGTGTACATAAAGAAAAGGATGTCTGCTTGAAAAATTGAGAAAAGGTCTTT